AAATTGAAGCTATGCATACCTTGACCCAGCATTCCACCGCTAGATATATACCCAACCAAAAAGCCTGCCTATAACCAAGAGACATGTGCAAGAATGCCCCCCAAACTAGAAACAAATCTCTCAAAGCAACAGAACACTGATCAAAGAATTATAACACAATCATGCTAAGCAACAATGAAAATGAGAGAACTGAAGACAAATGTATCAATAACAGCATATTCAAAACGTTTTTAAAACAAAAAACAAAAAAAAAAAAACAAAAGAAGCCAATGAAAAAAAAGTCAAAAACTGGGGAAAAATAAGGAACCAAACCAAAAACCCGAATTTTAAAAAATAAAAAAAAAAATTCCAACAAACCCGAAAAAACCAAAAAAAGGAAAGAAAAGGGAACAAATTTAAGGGGCAACCTGGCCGGAAAAGCCCAACCAATTGGCCCGGGCCGGTAATCCGAAAGGTTCCGGGAAGGGGGTTTTTGACAAGTTTAACATTTAAATCAGACTTTGAGTAAAGGAGATTGCCCTCTACAGTGTGGGTGGGCCTCATCCAATCATTTGAAGGCCTCAATAGTACAAAAGATTGACCTCCCACAACCAGGAAGAAATTCTGCCAACAGACAGCTTTTGGACTTGAACTGGGATGCTGGCTCCTCCTCAGGTCTCTGGCCTGCTGACCCATCCTGCAGAGTTTTGGACTCATCTGCCTCCATAATCACATGAGCCAATTCCTTAAAATAAATCTCTCTTACTGATTCCATTTTCCCTGGAGAACTCTGACTGATACAATAGGTAAAAGTGTCAAAATGCTGTATGATAAATAGATAAAACACAGATGAAAGAGAATTGTTGGAAGCAAAAAAAATGACAATAAAAGATACAAGCTTAAAATGAAAAACTATTAAAGAGGAAAATGTGAAAATGAAACAGCAGATGAAGCTGGTAGCTATGAATAAAAATCAAGAAAAAACTAGGTAAACATCAAAAATAAAACTTAATGTGAAAATAATTGGGGGAGAGATCTTTAAAATAAAACAAAAGCAAAGAGCCTGGGAATGGAAAAAGAGAGAGAAAATGAGACAAGGAAATGAGAAAAAAGCAGAAGTCTGTGGAACTGGGTGTGAGAAAAATTGATTTTCCCATCATGTTGAGACCTGTTGCCATGGCAACATCCCTCCTAGACCTGCCCTTTCTCACCCCCCTTCCCCTGATGTCTGACAGACCTAGACCTGACCATGGCACACTTTTATTTCAAAGATATATCTTATTTTCAGTTGACATATAGTAATTGTACCTATTTATGGGGTATACTGTGACATTTAAATACATGACATTTTTATGATCAGATCAAGAAACTGCCGTATCTACCTAACTGTACCTGTTGTAATGGAGCCTTGACTCCTCTATGTAGACAGCTGGAGTTGATCAGACTACTGGTATACCATCAGCCTGGCATGTCCACAGGCTGAAGTAGACACTGATGTGCCTGCATTTTTCCTTCTAGTCTTTTTCCTTCTTATGTATTTGTATATTTACAGCATGAAGATCATACACTACATATTCTACATCACATTATGCCATGAGTGTATTACTGGACATTTTTTCAAAGATTTGATGGGAACAAAACATTCCTTCATGTATCATTCACTGAAGCGGTGGCTGTTCCACAAATATTTGTTGAATGCCTGCAATGCTCCAGGTGTGTGTGGCTATTCAAGGCTCCTCTGAGTTGGCAGATGCCAGTGGAACAAACAGGAAAATCAGTGCTTGCAGTATAAGAGGGATTTCTGAACTTTTCAGAGGCCCCTGCTGATTTCCAGGTTCACAGCTGGGCCAGGTAACTGAGTTTGCCTCCTAGAAGGAGGAGCACTTCTGTATTTCAGATGGCGATACGGGTCTGGGTGCTGGACAGAAGCTAAATATTTCCACAAATCATAGGCTTCTGGCAGGGTCACAGGTAAGTTTTAGGACCATTATTTATCGGAGACAGCATGGCAATCTTCCCCCCTAAGCTGCTTCTTTACTTTTTTAATTTCTCTTTTTCAAACATGTATTTACAATGTTCTAAATTTAAGACAATATAATAATATACACAGTGAAGGGCTCATTCCTACCACTCCCTCCTCTGCTGGCATGTTACTCATGTAATTGTTTTTATTAGTTTTTTGTGTATTATCCTAGACTTTCTTTCTGCAAATATAAATATACGTGCTTATTTTTTCTTCTTCAGCACAAAAAGGTAGTCTACAATTTATATACATTTTCACCTTACTTTTTGCACTTAACATTACTTCTTGGATGCAGTTCCACATAAACAGATCTGCCTTTCTTGATCTTTTTCATTCCCACAGTCCTAAGTGTCTATGCAGTGTTCCAGTGTATAACTGGCATAACTCTCTGGCCAAGCCTCCACCAATTGACCTGTGAATTTATCATTAGGCTTGTTACCCTAAATAAGGCTGCATTCTCTAACCTTGAATATATTTAACTTTGCAGCTGTAATTTGGTCAAAGAGTAAGTGTAATTTATGATATATACTGTCAAATCATCTTCAACAGGAGTTGTGGTAATATCCATTCCCAGCAGCAATATTTCTGACCTCAACTTTAACCATGAACCCAGTTCAGTTGTTTATTGAGCCAGCAAACTGAACATCTGCTCTCTACCAGGCCCTGTGCTAAACAAGTACATAGCAAAGAGTAAGATGCCATTGGTACCTCCTTTCATTAGAGGGAGAGACAGGCTCATTGGACAATCAAATCAACATGTGGCAAAGCACCACAGCACAGTACAGGAGTCCTGTGAGAAAACGGACAAAGGGTGTTTTGTTCAGCAAGGTCTTCAGAATGGGTAGCAATCCAACTGGGCCTGAGAGACAAACGAGTTGCCAAGGGGCAGAGAGGTGTTCCAGACAAAGGCAACCATGAGCAGTTGCTTAAATGGTTGTTCCCCGAGCAGCACTGATCAAGCATGAGGCACCAAAGGCTAGAGAGGCAGAAAATCGTGGAGGGGTGTCTTTTGGTAACCACAATGTCTTTTTCTTCATCCCATAAGAACTGAGAAGTCAGAAAACCTCCCAGACACACTCTCTGACCCTTCTCTTCCCTGGACTCCAACTTGCCAGTCTGATAACGTGGTGTGCCCACTTCCCCTCAGTGAGTCACTTAAGGGCTTACCTGCAGACTTCACAATAGCCCTCAGGTGGGCCAGTTATGATGCAGCAAATGCTGTGATGGTCCTTTGGGTTTCCATTAAACTGTCTTAGAAACAAACTCCAGGCACTAACACCTCTCGTCCTAGCTTGTGGCCACAGCATGATCAGAGAATGGGAAAATGGCTGTCCAAGGATTGGAACACAGAGGGCTAAAGAAAGGGACACTGAAAAGAGCAAATCAAACAAGAATGGAAAGTTAGTCCGAATCCTTAGCACCAACTGTTCCTACTTACATCAGGCTTCTTCTCCGTGTGGCTAAGAGGACCTAGGACCTGCGTTATCATTGGGGTGAGTGTGGCTGGTGCTTCTAGTCCATGCACAGGTGACCTCTGCCTGCTTACTGGAAAGCTGCACTCTCGGGTTTCCCACTCTGCACGGGACAACTAGAAAGACCCTCTCCAGAGCTCTAATCCACCTACCTCTCTCCCTTTCAGGGGATGGACCAAATTCCACAAATCAGACCCACGCATTGCCCTAGGAAAATATTCCCCTCTGGAAAAAGAGATCCTGGTAAGTGTCTGGAGTTCACACTTAGAAGGGCCTCTTGATGCCCACCAGTGAGCTGGGGGCCCCTAGATTCCATACCCACTGACTGTAAAGAAGTCTCCCCAGCAGGACTCTGGTTGGCTGGGTCTGCTGGCGGATTCCGCACTTGCACAGCAAAAGCCAGTACCCTCCTATTTAAAAGTCCCAATTAGGACTATAACCCTAAGTAATTACAGATGATGGAAATGGCCTCTTTTGAGCCCTGAACTTACACACATCTCTCTCCTAGACCTTGTCTAGTTGAGGCTTCAAATGGCTCTGTAAAGTCAGTAACATTCTC